CATTCCCTTGCCGCTAGGTGACTGAGATCTGGTTGTACTCAGCACTACAAGGACACTTCAACTCAGCTGGAACAGATCTATGAACCAGGGGATAATGGCTTTAGGCCACAGCCCAGGAGAAATGTACAACTAAGCTGTTACTGTCAAATGTACTCATACAAGAATGAAGCGACAGACCTGTCTCAGGTTTGCATAGGTATGAGGCGTAACTAAAGCACAGAACTTGTAGATACCTTCATATCTTTCTATACCTGAGATGTCAGATCCCACCACACACCCCCATTCGGACAGCCCTGAAAACCTAACTAAAGCCATACAGGCTGCATAATCATAAATGCCCCCAAACACCCTTTTTACTGAGGTTTGTGAACTTACTCAGAGGTAAGTTTTCCACAATGCCTGCCAGCAGCAGGGGAATTCATCTGAAGCTGCAACTGCAGGATTTAGGGTCCCTTTATGCTGAGTGAAGGAGCCAGTGCATAGAAGAGACTCAATGTTAATCCCTCTCCATATATCAGTTGATTAAAGGCCTCTGTTAGGAGCCTCAGTATAAAAATCCTTTAAGGCACAACAAGGAGAAAATACAGGAGGTCTATAAAAGAACTAAGCTGGTTCTCCAGAAATCAATTGAAAGAACACCATAGAAAAGCTAATTTGGGACCAGACAGACAGGGTGAAAGGGTGAAATCAATACCACTATAGCAGCACATGCCAATTACATAGTTTTAAGGGGCTTTTTCATGTTAGAAATTAAATTCCTGATCCTCATGTCCAGAAACAGCCACACCCTGCTCTCTGCAGTGGCTAAAGTAGTCATGAATGAGCCAAAGCAGGTGTCACAGGGCATTCACCCACTATCTCTCTACAAACTAGGAAGAAAGTGGCTGTGGCTGCCATAGTAGTGAGCAGATTAGACATTAAAACAGCTACTTATGTTCATGTCTCTTCTTTTCCTCTTAATATTCAAGCATGCAAATAGAAGCCTCCCTCATAAACTAGCACATGGGTTGGTTCAGGTTAACATGCTTGATTCAGGAAGGAAAGTTAGAACAAATGCTTGAAGAGCAGAGAAAATGCTGATTTAGGAGCTTTGACTCAGAAAAAATAGATGTAAAATGAAATACTTAACCTTTAAAAAAAATCTCTCAATATTTGCACAGAGCCTGTGAGGGAAAGAAACGCAGGAAGTCCAATAGAATTCTGTTGTCAAAAATCGAACCAACACTGCCCTTCAGTTGCACTTATTTGGGTGTTTCAAGTTTGAGAAAAAGACCAGGCACATCTTTAATGCTATTTATTAAAGTTAATTTAGAAAATATACTGACAAAGGGAACCACGTTTAGCATGCAATGTCTTTGTGGAGGAAAAATGTGAACAAACTTAGGCCTTCACAGAAGGTGATACCTTGCCAAGATACTCTTATGTAATTTTAGTTGCTCTTAAGGCTGAAATTCGCTTGCAAAATGAAAGGAAAAGTCCTAGAGCTGAAAAAGATATTTAGACTGATTTAATCTATTTTAAGAGGTCTGTGGGTTTAACATTAACATTCATAAAGAGTCAATGGGAGCTTAATTAGGTCATCAATTAGAAACAATAGTTTCTATTTTTCTTACACAGACCGTGCAGAATCTAGAAATATTAGGCCCCTCTATAAGCCATGTCAGCTAAACAATAAGGTAACGCTATTAATACAGCAACTATTGAAGTGACTCCAGATCAGTACCATAGCAAGGAAGTTCGGCGCCCAAGGCAAGCCTCCAGTAGTGCACACCCCGCGCACAGATCCAGAGAGCATGCGCCCCCCCCAAACGTGTCCAGGAGTGCACTCAGCAGTGGTAGTCGCCCTCCCGCTGCCCCTGTGCCCCCAAACAAGCCACTCACAGCTCCGGTCTACCCCCTGCCCCAGCTGGGAAATGCCTATTGGTGCCCCTTCACTTCAGCACCCAGGGTGGTTGCCCTGCTCACCCCCCGCCGCTTGCTACAGTACTGCTCCAGTTTCAAAAGCAGGAGAAAAGAATCTGTGTTTAAAAAACAAAGTAAGTTGGTATTGTGAAGAAAAAGGTTTAATGTAGAAGAACCAAGCTGGAAAAGGGCAACAGCTCCTTCATGACTGAAACAGAGTCATACTCTAGCAGTGCACTAATCCTTTCCAAGAGCAGCTGCACAGTAATGAAATACATTTCACATGTTCCAAAGCATCAGCTTTTCAAGTAAACTTCATCACAACAAATATATGTACCTTTTTGCACCAACCAGATTTGTCACCGGGTTGTGGGTTTCATTTGTGGCAGCTCAACCTATATTCACACCTCAGTACAGAGCTATTCCATTAATTCGACCCACCAACAAAACTACAGTAACAGTGGACACACCATTCCTAAATTGCACCAGTATAACCATATGTTAAATACATCTGAAAGCAGTAAAGTATGTTTTAAAGGATAGGGCAGAAAAAAAACACTTCATTCTACTCTGACTGGTAGTCATGCATCATGACAGTGCTTTGGTGCAAAGAACAACAAAAAAATCAAATACCTTTGGAAGAAAGCTAAAACAACCTGCATTTTCCAGCCTCAATCTTTGTCCTTGGCTGTGCTGGTATAGATAACAATGGTCTATGGAAAACTATTGTCCTGCCTGTGCTGTGGCAGTACTTTGAAACTCAGAATACAGCACATCACTAGCTTAGGAAATGTTAAGGTATCCATCAGCTTGGAGTGGGAAACCAAGACATTAGTATTTGCCGTCATAATATACCCTCAGGAGTCTCATGCAGAATGGATGCCTGTGCACGAGCCGGGAGGCTGCTCTGATGCACTGTAGTTACAGCGCATTGAAGCAGACTTGATTAGTTGAGTCTGCTGGAGCTTAGTAATTACCGTGGTCCAGCCAGCCTCTGCATCTCATGTACCAGCGTCCCGACTCTTCAAAATGGCAGCAGGGGTGCTTTAACTAAAGCTTGTTCAATGACCTTTAGATAAAGCACCGCCACTGCCATTTTGAAGCACAGGGACACTGATACATGAGACGCTCCAGGCACTTTCATTACAGCAGCTTCAAGAACTGCTCTAATTAAAGTGCCCCCACCCCCTCCCCCCGAACATGTATAAAAAAGCCCAAAGCCTTCAAAAAAAAGTCAGTCCCATTCAATTGTTGATCTTAAACAGAAGTTAATGTCGTGTGAACCATATTTCTGGATCACTGCTAGTAGCTGGTAAGCTTGTAAAATAGAAAATAATTATGAAAGCCTTTAAATTCATAAATATTAGTAAAACCATTTCTAAGTAGGGCTCCAAGGCAGTTCTAGAACCTAAGCACTCTTGTGATACATAACAAGTGGAGAGGCCAGAAATCAAAATATTGTACAGAAAGGAAGGTGGGGAAAACCATAGGAAACAGAGTCCTTTTGTCTCAGCCTCCTCTGCAGCTCTGAGGATTCTGGATCCTCCACAGCAGCTTACGCAAGGTTGACAGCCATGCTCTGAAACCTCTTCAGCCTATTAGCAGCAGCCACAACGTAGAAATGTTTCTGTAAGCAAAACAGGAAAAAAACGAGGTATGAGCGTAACTGAGCTAATGGCAACTTTGAGGGTGAAACTAAACCCAGTTTTCCTAGCTTCCAGACCTCTGTACCTAACATTTCTGTAAATACTGGAAAGATAAATTAAAGATGGGAAGTGTAATTGTATCGACTAAGAGGCAGCAAAGTAGAACACTAGTTTATGAAAATCTCAGGATATATCCTCAGTGAGAACGGAGAGAATGATAATCCACAGTAAAACTCCCCTCTTGTACTGTTAGTGTTCAGCCACCCTTGAGAAGTCAGTTAACTCAAAGTACACTCCCATTCTTCTGCAGCTCCTATGAAAAGGGTTACCTTGACCATAACACTGACCTTCCTCCCTCACAGGGATATTAGGTAAATAAATCCCCTGAAAAAAAGTCATAATGAATCAAACAAAAAGGTCCCTCAGCATCCTATCCCTTTCTGGACAATAGCCACTCTGTTACCTACATACACATAGAGACACTAATTGCAGCAATTTGGACATTCAAGGTGTCAGCATGATCAAAGGAAAAGCAGCTGCTTGTAATTAGCATCGTTTTAAAGATGTTAGAAGATGACACTTGAATCATTCCCATTGGGAGTCACGAAATGCTTTGTACTAGAGACACGCTTGTGGCTGCAGAACAGAGAGGTTATACTGTGAACAAAAGGCTGCTTGCATCTCAGTTAACAAATGTGTAACAATATACCTTGGGAGGATGATGCTTTTTATAAATGCAAGTGCAAAGGTCTCAACCCAAGAGACAATACATTTGAGAGTCTAAAAAAGCAAATAAGGTTTTGTCTTCAGGTCACTATCATTAGCAAGATCTTGCTCTTCTCAGCAGCAAGTCAAAAATGGAACAGATCTCATTAGGTCTCCTTCAACTTCCCACAAATTAAAAATGTCATGATTGGTGTGTTAGCTCTCTCTGAAGAGGGTTTTTTCATTCTAACATTTGCTATACAATGAAGACAGGATAATAAAACTGAATCAGCTGCAACCCTGATTTTGCATAGAAGGTGTCCAAAGTTTCTGAACCCTAGAATTCTACACCTATTTCTGGGACACCAATCAAAAATAAGAGCAAAAAATTTGGACCAACATATCAAACATGAAAACTGTGGTTTAAAAGGGGAGTGAACAGTCAAATCTATAACTGCAATCAGAATTCCCAAGGTTGCACGTACAAGAAAATCCCCATTTTTAAAAGAAAATAATCTCACAGTGAATAAAGAATAAGGCTCCACCTGCCCTGTGCAATCATATTTTTTTGTGCAAGTGCAGTTACCAGGATGTGTCTCTTTACCTTCCATTTTCTCTGTGCCAGGTAACTCTGTAACAACAACTGGGACTTGAGGCGGAGCTTGGATTTCTTGGCTTTGCCAGGCAGGTCATTTAACCACTCATGTTTCAGACATTGTGTTGCACTGATCCTGCAGCTGCGGAAAACACAGATTGCAAATGGCCTCAATATAAAACACACTGTTACCTCTGCTGTCCTTTGCACAGTGTTCCTTGGGCCAGTTGCAGCAGAAAGGCTCAGCGACTTTTCACTGACACTGATGTGACAAACACACACAAAAATACCATTCACCTTGGCGCAGAGGTCCTGCACAGACAGCAGCCCTGCATTCCTACCCTCTACATGGTGCTCGGAGTCCTATGGGAGCCTTTTACACTGACATGAACCCTTCCCCTCTCCCCTTATTCCTGAGCACTGTTTAGGTTGGTTGCTATATTATTTGGAGCAGCTGCAGTTTCATCAGCGTGTGTGCAATTTTTGGAATAAGAATGGCAGGACACATGGAGTATGTGGGGGACTTTGCCAAGAGAATCAAAGAACACAGGGATACACAGAGATAGTAGCTAACACTGGTATCTAACCCATCTCCCTGGCAATACAAGATTGTTCCCTGCTGTATATTCAGACAGACACACAGATGCCTAGTCAATTAACTGGAAAGACAGCATCCATATGGAAACCTAGATCAAAGGTATGGGATAAGGATTCCTCCCTTAACCAGCTAGAAAGGTCCAATTCAACCACATTCTGCGTTGTTGGCTTCAGCAGATAAGAAGGACAATTTAAAGCAGGCATGTTAAACTCCCTTGGTTCCCCAGCCTGGAATCAGACCATGAGACCCCTCACAGGCCAAATCTGAACCCTCCTCTGACAGTGGGGCTAGCAGTAGCAGGGAGCCGCAGGGATGAATGCAGCTATCGCTCACTCCTTCAACAAGAACATGTCCTCAGTGGGGTTTCAAACACTGGAAGTCAGAGACGGGCCTCACAACACTCACCCTGCCCCTGAATTCCTGGGCCTTGGAGTCCCATAGACTGAATGATATGGCTCTGTGGGTGAGATGTAGCTACCAAGCTACATCTTTGACACCCCTATTCTAGGAGATACTTGTAGTTTCTGTTTCAAATGTAAATAGCTGCACACCACTTGTGTTGGGGTTGACTGATTTAGAGATCCGACAATCAGCAAGATGATTCTCACTTGCAATATAAAGAGCAATTTTATCAACTGCCTTGCAGGCATGCAGTAGGCCATTTCCATCAGGCTCTGTCACTTTATCCATCCCATTCATGAGTCATGGTTTTATAGGTCTCCAAGCCTTCATCCACCATTAGGACTGGATGCACTGAATCAAATTCTGTGCTGCAATATAATACATATACTTCCCTTTAGTTTCAGTGGGGGTTGAGAGAAATAATCCAAGCACAGAAAAAAGGTCCCAAATGCTTCTTCAAGTCCATCTAGGGCACTTCTCTGGAGACTAATGCAGTTTTTAAAACTGCATAACTCATACATCTTGATTCCTTGTTTCTTAAAATACAACAACATATATTTTTCCAATTTTTGTGCATTGTAGAGAAGCCAAACTGACAGAAGAACTAGCTCTTGGTCATATGAGAAAGGCTCCAATAAACACCAGTGATCACTTCTACCCTCAATTCTACCCCTGTTGCAACCAATACAGTAGCTATGACAGGTTTTACCTAGAGCAAGATAAATTGTATTCTTCTTTCAGAAAAAGTCTGGGTCACCACTACATTGCCTGGTAGACATGAACATGGCAAAAGAAGTGTCACGTGACTAACTTCTGGCCATGATGGATAAATTTAGCCAGGAAGAACCTATTATAATTGGTAAAGCTATTACAGCAAACTGAGGAGGTACCTCTTCTCCTTCACAAGGAGCTTGGAAATGAAGTCTTTTGCCTCTTCTGATACTTGTTCAAAAGCTTCTGCATCAAAATCCCAACTGCAGTTCACTATGTAATTCATTGTCTCTGCATCAGTTTCTCCTAGGAATGGAGATAAGCCACTAAGTCTAAAAAAATAAAAACAGAGAGTGAGGAAAATGGGCAGGAAGTAAATGTGGAATGTGTATTTCTCCTTTGTGTCCTCACTATGCTTCTCTCCTTTGGAATTACATTAGCAGAAACACAGACATGACTATTTCAGCTAGAAACTGTGCTGAGGAGCAGTGCAACACCTGCTGTGGTAGGTTCATGGCTCAGTTCCTAGTTGCTTGGACTAACAGGGCTGTGAACACACTGGAGCAATAAAGCTAAGTAATGCTTCTCATCGCTCTCTAGCAACCCACTCAGGCAACTCAGAGATCAAGATTAATGACCTTGCAAGAAACTGAATTCCTGGAGGATGTAAGCAGGTACTTAAGTGCTTTGCCAGCTAGTAATGCTAGTACCCAGAAAAGCTAGAACTAGGAATGCTGGAATTCATCAACCCAAAACTACACATATGCTTGTGAGCTGCACTGTTTCAAGGTCTATGTCCAGACTGAGTTTGAATTCAAAGCAGTCCTGTCCAATACAAGATTTTCTTCAGTTTGTTTCTGAGCCCAGATGCGTTTAATCAATAGTTTATCACCGAATTCCATTTTTTTGACTTCCCCATAAACTTAAAATAAGTTACCCTGTCCATGGAAAACAGCTAAGGAAAAGAGAGTCATGTCAGTGCCTCTAGAGTTAGACAGCTTGTGTAGATGAGCAAAGTTTAAACCCATGGAAGAATTTTAACCCCACAAAGTGAATTTAAACAGGCTCATTGAGTAATTCCACACAAGGCAGCAATAATTCTCCCCTCCCCACAAGCAAGTGCATGTTGGGTCCAAACAGCATTGATGGATCTGGCTCCCAAGGGTCCAGATTTAAAACAAATGATAAATCCCAGAGCTCAATAACTGATTGAAACCAAAGTTTGATTATGTTTGGTGCAACCAATCACTTGGTCTTTGTAAACCTAATCTGATCGGATTTGTTTTCACTGACTAAATAGGCAGGAAGAAGGCTAGAGAAAACGGGATATTTAGAATGCAGATTCGTTCTTTCAGGTTCTTAAAGCCCCATGGCAAGTGATAGTCCCTTGCACTGGCTTCCTCTCTTGTGTAATGAAGTGAGTATAGCATGGAAAATTCACTCCCTCAATGGGCTCGCATAGTCTGCTGAATTCCAGCATGGCAAATACCTTCCACGGGCCTTTCTTATACAGCATATAATGACATGACCATAACCCCACAGAGGCTTACTCACAGTATGTACGTGATGACGCCTACACTCCACATGTCTGTTGGGAACGAAACAAAGTCATAGTTCACTACTTCAGGAGCCAAGAATTCTGGAGTGCCAAAATTGACTTTCAGCTTCTCACGGGGTTTGTACCTTCACAGACACAAAAAGGGACATCAGCACCAACAGCAGACCATAATTATACTACACATTTGCAAAAAAAACTGTCTTCTTGCATCAACACCACCATTAGATATATTCTAGACCCACAGCTCTAGTGATACAAATAACTTCTGAGCACAGAAAAAATGCCAAGATGGAGCCCTGAGGAAGGGTTGCTGTCAGGGTTGTTAACCAATGATGTGGCAGGTTAACCACTGTACCAATTCAGTGGTACTCAACCTTTCGTTGGCACCAACTAGATGTGGCTCAGGGCCAGTCCACAAGATGGATCAGACCCTGTGAGCCAGGATCAGACCCCACACCACCGCCCAAAGTCCTGCACTGCCTCCCTCAGCCCCACACCACCTCCCATAGCTCTGCACCACCTCATGGGGCCCTGAGCTGCAGGATTGGGGCCCACATTGCCCCCATCCAGCCCTGTGTGTTCAGATTGGACTACCTCTGCATGCATATCCAGAGTGCTATCTGGCCTGCTGGGCTCCCCACAGGGCTGTAAGTTTGGCAGCAGGAGAGCGGCAACTGCTGCCATTGCTCCCCCACCACCAAACGTTCAGTTCCATGAGGACTCCTGCTTCCAACTATGCTTTAACAAACCTATTTGTCCTGGCCACCGCTTTCCCCAAAACACTAATTTTGCTCAAGTGTATTTATTTCTATTTTCATAAAATACTTTTAAAGGCAAAAAGATCTTGAGCTGAAATACTGGGGTTTGCATAAGGAAAACCCCAGGAAGATGAGAAATGAATGTTCTGTGACTACACCAGCCAGAGAAGGTGTTGCTTCTTACTCTGGCAGGCAGGACTTGCCCAGACTCAGACCTCACACTACCCCTTGTTACTACCCATCATTCAAATCTCTCTCCTCTCGCCTCTTTTACACAAGAGGAACAGACTTCACAGCTGGTTACATCTTTCCATTTTTACATTTTTATTCTTCTTTTGGTAGCTGAAACAGGTTAGAAACCACTTCAAAAAAGGAGCATGCTTTCAAACCAGTTAGGTCTTATGACCTTCATTCTACAGTACTTAGGAGAAAAGACTTGGGACAGGCAAGCCACTAGGTTGTCTTCACCTATCCATATCCACATGGCACGTGTAAATGACCACTGTATTCTTCTCGCATGTAGCACCTTCTATGATGTTCCTCAGCCTTCCAATATTGAATTATATGTTAAATCACAACAAGAAATGGGCATTAATATCTCTCTCATTCGATGGAGTTCAGTATGGAAAAGGTTTTTTTAGGCTGTCTAGTCTAAGCAGTGCCATCACAAAAGTGTTCCCTCTGTACATGCTCTAGTATTCTGTCCATTCTACCGGTGTAATGGAACAATTTTGTACTCTTATATATACTATACCTGGGGTTTTCAGCCTTTTTTAATACGTGTACCTCTGGCAGCCCCCTTTTTACTAAGTGTACCCCTGGGGGGGAAAGGGGGAGCAGTCGGACATGGTGGGAGGGAGGGGGGGAGTGGCAAGCGGCCAGATGTGAAGCAGGGGTGTGGCAAGCGGCAAAGCGGCGCCAGTGCAGCGTCTGTGCGGTCCTGCTCTCACCCCACCCCAGCCCTGTTCCTGTGAGGCAGCGCTCCATCCCCGCCCAACCCCATGTACCCCCTGGGACCTTTCAAAGTACCCCCAGGGGTACACGTACCCCTGGTTGACAACCCCTGTACTATACCGTGATCCAGAGTAGCTATCCTGAGCTGGTTCAGTAGGTGCTATTATAGTGGCTCACCACTCGGTGGTGGGGGAACAAGACTTTGCAAATGATTACCCAAAAATAAACCACCAGGGATATTTCTATAATGGACTGGGTGGAATTACCCAGTGTAGCAGTTATTAATCATCTGCCTA